GCGGGAAGGGACATAAACATGAGACTGTAAGGTAGAAAAGGACACAACCATCAAACTGAAAGACAGAAAGGGACATAAACATCAGATAGTAAGGCGGGAAGGGACATAAACATGAGACTGTAAGGTAGAAAAGGACACAACCATCAAACTGAAAGACAGGAAGGGACATAACCATCAGATTGTAAGGCGGGAAGGGACATAAACATGAGACTGTAAGGCAGAAAAGGACACAACCATCAAACTGAAAGACAGGAAGGGACATAACCATCAGATTGTAAGACAGGAAAGGACACAACCATCAAACTGAAAGACAGAAAGGGACATAAACATCAGATTGTAAGGCGGGAAGGGACATAAACATGAGACTGTAAGGCAGGAAGGGACACAATCATCAAACTGAAAGACAGGAAAAGACATGACCATCAGACTATAAGGCAGGAAGGGATATAACCATCAGACTGAAATATATGATTTTGAATATAAGAAAACGTACAATATTTTAACAGTGATAGCAGAAATACCGCCCTACGGGCAGCTGTTCGTGCTAGTAATCGTAGTATTCATAACTACCTGTAAAAAAACAAAATGTGAAAGAAGTGAACATTTTCCAAAAAAAAGGATTTTTTTTTTTCTGGGAAATACTGCATGGGAAAACTTTTCAGATTGTGCTCTTTACTCATATGCAACTCATTGTCTCGAAATGCTTCAATATACAGAGCCTAAAATGTTCGTACATTTTACTAATATAAACTGTAATATGTTATCTATTAAAAGTGGTACCGTTTATTTAAAAATAATAATAGTTTTTTTTAAGAACTCAAGTTTTTTAATACCACATTTAAAATTACATTAAAAAAAATATAATCAAACCCTCACGTACAGTCCTAATGAAAGTCGTGGTCTTGTTTTTGAGGAGAGTACTTTTATTTAAAATTGTGTTCTATTATAAAGAAATGGTTGTCGTATATACCATAGTTATTTTTCTAATTGTCTGAATCTAGAACACCAAGAGTGTGAATTTTTTTTTATGGATCTTTGTTTGTTGTGCCATTCAACAGATGGCGCGACATTTCGTAAACCTCAATCACCACTTCTGGCATTGTATTTATTTATTTTGGTCACATAGACAGATAGATGGCCCCGCCATCGCTCCATTATAGTAAGATGCGAAGGTGATGCTGAGAATTTTCTACAGCTAATTGAAGTAGTTACCAACAGATGGCAGGGTAAGCACACATGCTTTCTTCCTTGAGTGATAGAATGATATTGATTGGTTATTTTAATGATGTGTAAAACCTGATTACCTTTAAATGCTTAGCAATAACAGCAAAACTTAAGTTATTAAATAATTTGTTTTATTGGTAAATATCTGACTAAGATGTTCATTCACTTAATGTTAGTATAAAATATATGATCAAGATGGCTACCGGAAATGTGGAAACGTGTTTTTAATTTGTGTTCTCACAAATTATCATAGCTCGTATGTAAATAAAATTTAACTTAAATAATTTAAAATAGGACAGAGAAATATATTACTGAACACATAAATAGTTTACAATCAATGTGTCTATCACGTAAATAGTTTACAATCAATGTGTCTATCATATTTAAAACAAAGATATTACTGAACACGTAAATAGTTTACAATCAATGTGTCTATCACGTAAATAGTTTACAATTCCAGTTCTCATCAACATTTTAACATGAACATCCAGTTTTAATCCCAGTTCTCATCAACACCCAGTTTTAATCCAAGTTCTCATCAAAACCCAGTTTTATTCCAAGTTATCATCAATATTTTAACATCAACACACAGCTTTAATCCCAGTTCTCATCATCATTTTAACATCAACACACAGTTTTAATCTTAGTTCTCATCATCATTTTAACATCAACACACAGTTTTAATCTTAGTTCTCATCATCATTTTAACATCAACACACACTTTCAGTCCCAGTTCTCATCAACATTTTAACATCAACACACAGTTTCAGTTCCAGTTCTCATCAATATTTTAACATCAACACACAGTTTAGGTTCCAGTTCTCATCAACATTTTAACATCAACACACAGTTTCAGTTCCAGTTCTCATCAATATTTTAACATCAATACACAGTTTCAGTCCCAGTTCTCATCAACATTTTAACATCAACACACAGTTTAATCCCAATTCTCATCAACATTGTAAAATCAACACACAGTTTCAGTCCCAGTTCTCATCAACATTTTAACATCAACACACAGTTTTAATCTTAGTTCTCATCAACATTTTAACATCAACACACACTTTCAGTCCCAGTTCTCATCAACATTTTAACATCAACATACAGTTTTAATCTTAGTTCTCATCAACATTTTAACATCAATACACAGTTTCAGTTCCAGTTCTCATCAACATTTTAATATCAACACACACTTTCAGTCCCAGTTCTCATCAACATTTTAACATCAACACACAGTTTCAGTTTCCAGTTCTCATCAATATTTTAACATCAACACACAGTTTCAGTCCCAGTTCTCATCAACATTGTAATATCAACAGTTTCAATTCCAGCCAGTCTGATGAGCCCTGGTATAGGGTGAAAGGCTTCGTCGGCACTTGATGTAGCTGATATAATGTGGCTGACATGTTATTGTATTCTTTATTTGCACTTTAGGTTCTTACAATCAACAGACTGAGATTTGCATAATCTTTTCTGTTCGGCTTATCAACAGCAGTGTTTGTAGTAGAGAAGAGCGTGCAACGTTTCACGTGAAGAAACGTCATCTTTGTTACTTTCTGTCGTATTTGATTCCTGTTCAAGAAATGCGGTCTGAAAAGACTGAAACAGAAGAGAGTCCGCTCCGTAATCTCATGAAAGCAATGCACGATTCTTCACTTTCAGATCTTCGGTTTTTGTTTACTAATGACGATAACTCACTGGACTGGTTAAAACCTAAAAATGGATGAAAAATAAAAAACACACACACACAAAAACAACAACTTCACATTATCCGTTAAATGCATTTTGTTTATCAAACCGAAGCGACGCTGTGAATCCAGCTGGAATAGGAGCGAGGGGCTTAGTTGAAAAGGTCCTATCACTTAGTCCCATTCCGGCGCGTCGAGAGAGAGCCACCGTCTGGCTGAAACGTTCTGATGTGAGAATCATGCAGTTAGGGAGGTTGGCGGAGCTGCTCTCCGCATATTTTCGTTTCTTAAATCCACTCCAATGCAAATCACATAATCTGATTATCGAGGACGGGTTCACCGTGCACCTCTTCGGAGAGAAGACCTTTTAGTAGAATTAAAATGGTGGACGTGAGTGACTGGTTAACGAAATCGGCTGTTGTACATTTTACAAAGTCCCAGTTTCACTGGTGAAGACATCCGGGCATTCCACGTGACATCATCCTTGTCAAAAGCAGGCTAACTGATGATAAAGAAACACTGTAAATTAATCCATACATAAAGTAACAGTAGACCCACTCCGCTTGTTCGATAATAACGGGCATTTCCTTATTATT